ATTTAATTGACAGTATTTTAGTTTATACCACCTTTATAATCTAGCTTGTGTATGAGCTAAGGGGTACTGATGTCTGTTACTGAAGATGATTCTCTGAGACATGTTATTTTTTTTAGGTCAAGTAGTATAAACAGTATTTGGGAATATATAGTCTTATAGTGAAGCATTCTAGTACTACCTTCTTATTCTTGTTTACCTCTGCTTTCTGTGGGAGAGAAATGTTTATAGTATGATTCTTATTTCAGGCATTTTCCCCTGAGATGCCACTCCTCGTTCAGGAGTGCCATAGGGTAAGCTCAGCTTCCGCCTCTGGTTTGGCAGTGGGTGGATGGATTCCACAGAAGGGAGGCTTTGATACATAATTGACTGTTAGCATGATCATTCACCTGTTTGGGTTTATAGGTCATTCATTTAGAAATTAGAAATGGATCAAATCTAACAAAGGCAACATAAGTTTCTCAATCTATTCAGTGTACTGTGCAACACTTAAAGAGTTATGAGGAAAAAAAGGATTGTAAAAGATCATTTGAATAAAAGATTATTTGCAGAAAAAATTTCTTCTTGACATGAGAATTTGGAAATGACTTATTTGGGAATTTGTTTCTGCAAACCTGCAAGTTAGGCCTTTATATGTCCAGATCTGTCAGTGAAAGTTCTGGTTGTAGTTCTATTAACATCAAGCTCTTGTATTTCTTCTCTATGCCTCATGTTTTTTTCTCAGCATCAGTCCTTTCCTCTGGTAACTCCCTCTTATTTGGCATGCTTCTATTCACCTACTCTCTTTCCTCTCTCCCCTCCTAAAAAGTTAGGTGTCCCCTTCCATTACTCCCATAGTGCCCTGGACATATGCCACACAGTTAAAAGTTGACTTGTTTTCATATCTCTCGCTAGACTGTATTTCTTAAGAGCCAAGGCTCTCGCATTCTCATCTTTGTAGCATGCATGGTGTAATGTCTGGATCTTCATAGGCCTCCTTATATGTTTCTTTGGATTTCGAGGTGCTGGAGTAGGCACAGTTAATAACTGAGTTTTAGTTGTAGCTTTGACTCTATAACCTTGGACAAGTGATTTCAGGTTCCTGAGCTTTAGTTTTCTTATAAGTAAGATAGGGAACTAGCTCATTTGGGGATCTTGTTAAAATACAGATTCTGGCTCAGCAGGTCTCTGATATTTTACATATTTAACAAGCTCCCGGGAAGAGTCCTGCTAGTCCATGAACTGCAAAGAATTAGGTAACATCTAATGGCTCTTTCAGCTTTTAAATAATAACTTTCTGTATTGTAAAATTCTAAACAAAATTACAAAATATGCTGTAATTACTGAATATCTCTCCAAGATCATGAGAATGCCTAACACTGACAATTTTGTGCCTTTGATGAAGTTTCCAATGTGTGATAGAAGTCCCTGAAATTGAAAGTTATTCTAAGATTTTGACTTTGACAGGTTAAAAATATTAAATAAATGTCTGGGAAAGCATTTGATTTAGCACTAGCTTGTCATCTAAAAGTCAGAATACATGCTTGTTCACTCTTTATTGGGTGCAAATTGGAGAACATTTGTAATAAATAAAATTAGTTTTGAATGCTGTATGCTAATGAGCAGAGATGGATAGACACGTGATCTCATGAGTATAAATACAGAGACAGGGAAGCTGTTGATGAGTTCATCATCATAAGAGTTCCTGATCATTTCCTCAGTTCTCCAGAAGGTGAGAATCAAATTGTTGTAGGATGTGTTGGTAGACATGCTTTAGGTAAAACCTGTGCTATTGAATATGGATTGCTGGCAAGGATTTTGTTTGAAAATGCTGCTAACTCTTTGGCTTTTGCTTCAAGAAGTCATATTTGATTCAGGAGCATTGTCAGCTTGGAAATTTATAGTTGTCCTTGATCTCATATACAAATGTGTAAAAGTAGTTGGACTAATTTTTATGTTTGTCTTATAGAATAAATCTATCTCTTTATTCTTAGCCATACCATGGATATTAACCAATCATAGCTTAATTGCCCAAATGAGTTATATAATGCCTCTGATTATATTTTTTCTTTTAAGAAAATGAAGATTTGGACAAGAGAAATTGAACTCTGAAAAAAAGTACAGAATGTAGTCTATAGTTGAGGGTGGTTATCTTAATTATAATGAGTTTTTCACCTCCCATAGGATAAGACCGTTTGTCCTCCCTAACTGATCTGTATTTGATCTCACTACAGTTGTGGATTGGGTAGAAGTTTCAGAGCTCTGCCATCATCAGCATCAGCTTTATTACATTTTAGTTGTTGTAACTTTTGGTTCCCCTAAATAAAACTGGCTGGGCAAGCACAGTAGAGAGCTTTGGGTGTAAACAGTGACAGTGGAACCAAAATAGGCTTTAGCTTTTGCTCCCACTTAGTGGATTCATCACTAAAACCCCGTCCCCTCCCGTCCTCTAGCAGAGTCTGCAGGGAGGAGCCTCGGCATCTCCGGAGCACCCTGAGCTTTCTTAATGTTTTCTTTTAGTGTTGCCGCGAGGTTGGAACTCACTTTTTAAAATAGCAATTTATACTGAACCCAAAGTTTTCAAAACCAGCTATTAACTGAAGGCATTTGCTGTAGTCCAGATTGCCCCTGGGGAAATACTTTAACCAGGATTATTTTTGCGCCTGTCTTTGGAGGCTTAGCTAGACCATTTTTTGTTACCCTGAGATTTTTTTTTAACCACAAAACCATTTTTTAAGACTTTGTACTCGGATTTTCTTTCTTTTTAAAAAAATATATTTTATCGATTTTTTTTTTTTTTTTTTTTTTTTTTTTTTTTTTTTTTTTTTTTACAGAGAGGAAGGGAGAGGGGGATAGTCAGAAACGTCAATGAGAGAAACATCGATCAGCTGCCTCCTGCACACCCCCTACTGGGAATGTGCCCGCAACCACGGTACATGCCCTTGACTGGAATCAAACCTGGGACTCTTCAGTCCACAGGCTGACGTTGTATCCACTGAACCAAACTGGTTAGGGCTGCACTCGGATTCTCATCTGCCTTTGAAGGTGATCATAAAATGGTTTATGGTTAATGAGGTAGAAAGAAGTTGTTAATAATACTTTTTTACTTCCACATTGCTTTTGAATTTTCCAACAGTGACCTTATATCCCAAAAAATGTTAGTATTATATTTTGTTTTTCAAGAAATTTTTGCTGCCCTAGCTGGTTTGGTTCAGTGGATAGAGCGTTTACCTGTGGACTGGTGGGTCCGGGTTCAGTTTCAGTAAAGGGCACATGCCCAGGTTGTGGGCTCGATCTCCAGTAGGGGGTGTGCAGGAGGCAGCAGATTAATGATTCTCTCTCACCATTGATGAGAGAATCTCTTCTCCCTTCCTCTCTAAAATCAATCAATTAATAAATTAATAAAACACATTAGACATTTTTACTATAAATAGGGTGAAACTATTAGCAATGTCTCTGTAAAGTACTATGTGGTTTTTAAAACTGGTATTGGTACATTTAGTATGACTTATGCTACTGATCTTTAATATTCCAAATATTCTTTTCTAAAGAAGATACCAGGGATGATCTTTATAGGAGCAAACAAACCTCTTTGGTTGATGATTTCTTACTTAGAAGTCTAGTTGCAGATTATTTTAGAGAGGAAACTTTTCTGATAAAAGCAAACTGGATTTTTTACTCCATTAATCTCCAAAGATTTTAACACAAAAAATAAAGTTTTTATCCCATAAAATTGTATGTCTATTTGTGTCCCCTCTGATTTGCTGTTAAATCTGGATGTCAGTCTTTAAGGAGCAGTCAAATCCACTTCTTTTGTCTTCCAGGTGAGAAGCAAATGTGGTAGTGCAGGGGCCTTTTTTCTCTATAGTTTAAGATATGTTTTTGGCTTTACTTTGATTAGTATGTTCACCTACTAATAATAACAGGCTCAGTTTTTGTCTGTTAAGCAACATCCACTCTTAGTTTCAAAACAAACATAAACCCCATACTCTGGAAAATCCCTTTGCTGCACTTATAATTTTTGTATAGCAGTCAAGAGCCCCTTTCCATCCTCATAACTCAAGCTTTCTTAGAGAAGAAAAGGACTATCAGAGGAAGAGAAGTAAATCCTTTTTAAGACAGTTTAACACCTTTGCTAAGATAACTGGACCTGTTCCTGCTTTGGCATTCACCTTTGCACTGGACTACAAAAATTACTTGGGGTCCTTCCAACCTTGTTTATTTTTATGTCCCTTCTTTTGCTGCCAAGACTCATAGGATAGCCCAGATCTCGTATTAGGACCTCACAGAGTTTTTCCTCATTGAAGGTGGTTCCCTATGTTCTGGGCATGTGCATACCAGACTGATGAGTTCTAGATCTGTCCTATCTTTGAATGTCCTCAGGTTGAGCAATGTTTTGGATGACCTTATAATAATTCTTACAACTCTCAGCTCACTATAGCAGATGCCTCTGAAATATGTGGGAAAGCAGTTATTGGTAATTGAAAACTATATTCTAGGTCAGCACATGGGCCCACTCATGGTCCAACCCATCCTGTCTCAAATCCCCATCCGTGTGCTGTCCTAAATATGGCTCTACAAAAACAATATTAACATTTCTCTGAAAGAATGATGGGTAAGAGGAAGGAGTGGAATTATTATACTTTGTAGGTAGGCTATAAAAAGTTTCCTCCAGATGCCAGGACCGGTTTGGCTCAGTGGATAGAGCGTCGGCTTGGGGACTGAGGAGACCCGGTTTCGATTCCGGTCAAGGGCATGTACCTTGGTTGCGGGCATATCCCCGGTAGGGGGTGTGCAAGAGGCAGCTGATCGATGACTCTCTCTCATCGATGTTTCTAACTCTCTATCTCTCTCACTTCCTCTCTGTACAAAATCAATAAAATATATTAAAAAAAAAAAAAGTTTCCTTCAGATGTGTTTTAATCTGATGATACAATAAATGGTTTTGCTTAATGTTACTCTTTGTTCTTTAAAAAAAAAAAAAAAGGCAGTTACAGTCTAACAATTAATTTTTTTTTTTTAAGTTTCCACAAAAAGACCTACAGCAAAATGAATAATCTAGCAATCAAGAGAATAGGAAATCACATTATCAAATCTCCTGAAGACAAGCGAGAATACCGGGGGCTGGAGCTGGCCAATGGCATCAAAGTACTTCTCATCAGTGATCCCACCACGGATAAGTCATCAGCAGCACTTGATGTACACATAGGTACAATTTAAAATTGTGAATTAAGGCTTTGTTCACTTTCATTGACCTGATGTTAACATTTATTTGAACTTTCCATATTTGTGCAAACAAATACCTAACAGTTGCCAGTTTCATGTACCTATTTTTGTACAGTAGCTCTGTACAGCTATTGATAATCTACAGCTGTCTAAGTCAAATAATTTTACATTTACGAAGAACATCTTGTTAGATTCTCAGCTGAGGTGACCTAGCAGCAAGGAAATTCATTCCCATCTTGTACTGTAACAGTTCTAATTCTTTCACTTTTGTACACTTTGGGTACAAAAGGAAATACATTTCCTAGGTTCTTGTGTGCACATTTCTCCCATATTTAATGCTGCTTTACGTAGCTTGCTTCTTATCTATATGTACATTTAGTGAGGCATGTTTTCTTTCTGAAAAATTTTTGTTTTAACTCAGTGACATTTTAAAATTGAGGGGAAAAAGTAATAAACATATATTGAACAAATAATTATTGCTGAACACAATACAATGTGCTTTGCAAATATCATCTGTTATTCACACAACTCTCTTAAGTTAGGTGTGTATATAGAAAAGTGACTGAGGCAAGATGGATAAAATATTGTGCTCAAAGTTTCATAGCTAATAGAGACGCTATCCCCCAAACCAGTGCCCTTAGCATTCTGCTATTCTGTCTCCTGCAGAATAAAAACAGCAGTGAATTCACCCCTCTCCCTCCAGTGTGATGTGTGAGGAAACTAATGTCCAGAGAGGTTAAAATCTGCCCAAAGTCACCAACTAATTAATGTCAAATCGTGGGGCTAGAACTAAACAGTATTATTTTAGAGCAGCCTAGGCTTAGTTTTTTTTTTGTTTTTTTTTTGATTGTATGATTGGAGTTGTCATGCTAACAGAAATTTCAAATCATCTGTGACTTATCTGTATTTGATTTTTTTCAACATAAAAAATGATTTATTATATATATGTTTTCTCTACTTTTTACAGGTTCATTGTCAGATCCTCCAAATATTGCCGGCTTAAGTCATTTTTGTGAACACATGCTATTTTTGGGAACAAAGAAATATCCTAAAGAAAACGAATACAGCCAGTTTCTCAGTGAGCATGCAGGAAGTTCAAATGCTTTTACTAGTGGAGAGCATACCAATTATTATTTTGATGTTTCCCATGAACACCTAGAAGGTGCCCTAGACAGGTACTGCTGAATGTTCTATACATTATCCAACTTTGTGCACTCATGACATTAATAGTAGTAATAGTAATAATTAGTATTTTTACAAAGATGCCTTCACAGCTTTATAGCTTAACAAGAGTATTTTAACCTCACCCCTGGGTTTTGTAAAAAAAGAAAAAATAATAATATGATCTCATATATTTACTTTGTGGTAGAAGAAAAATAATGGTCTGACTTTAAACCAGTCTTCAGGCCTACAAAGTGCTTTATTGACTTATAAAATTCTCACCAGTCTTTTCATTCTAACTAGTATTACATATGAAGCAGGTGATAAAGAATAAACTGTAACAGAACATATTTCTGTTCCAGAATGCTAGAACTTAAATACTCTTATTTCCTTTAGTTCCTCTATTCTCAAGAATACTTAACAGATATAGAATGTTTGACTTGCAGTTTCAACCCTGGGTACTTTTTGTGAAAGTATTTTCTATAACAGTCTCCCTTAGGCCAATCTAATTTCTTGGTCAATTTTCTATTTAGCTAACAATTTAAAATTTTTGTTATATTAGTGATTTGATTCATTATTCAAAGTATAATTGTGTGAATTTTCTGTATTATCAAATGTGGTCTGGAGTTTTTTAGTGAATCTGTACTGAGTTTGACCTTGCAGTTTTAGTAATTGTCAACTTTATTTGCTTGCTTATCTTAATAATAGTAATTCTATCTTTTTTAGCAACCTAATAGTTTGAATTTATTCCTTAGAGCAAAGAATATTAACAGGATACATGGCTAGCTCAAAGTAGCCTGTTTCTTACTTATTTTAGCTTATGTTTCGATCTTTAGGCAGCAGCTTTGAGATATAATCATATGTATTCCCAGAAGACTAACAGTAAGTTCCCTGGGCTCATTTTCTGCTTTACAAATGCTACTGCAGATATTCATATAATAGATCTCTGTATGATGGAGGATGTCTGTTACTTGGCTCAGAGTGAAAAAAATCCACTTGTATAAGAGCATCTTTTTTAAAAAGTGGCTTATACTGTTCATAATCATGACCCTTTATGTAGGCCTATCTACTTACACTGTGTAACTATTAGGCATGTTTTCTAGCCTGAACATATTGACGTAGGTAGAAGAGATTGCATGTCCAGAAATAGCTCTGTTTCAATATATCTTTGATTATAGATTATAGTTAGATGGATTTCTCTTTGGATTGGTGTGTTTAAAGTGTTTATCATAGTATTATGTTTATGTACTTAAAATAAATATCAAATAATAACAGCCTCCTTGACACCTGGACTGTGAGAGGTGTAGTTGCTCAGATGTTACAGACTCAGGAGTCTCTTAGGTCCACTGAATAGTAGTTCATTCAGACAGACCTCCTACTCTCAGTTTCATTTGAATTCTGGATCTTGTTTTTATAAGATGGAGGCTAACATTTCTTAAGAAGAATTACTGTATGAAATCATGATTGCAACCTGATATAGGAGAGTTAATTTATTAACTAGAGGCATTTTAATTAAACTTTGGTAATATTATTAAAGAATAGTCTCAAGGAAAGCATTTTAGTTAATTTTGTTAGAGTTACATGCCATAGTATTTGTGGAATCACTGCTTATTAAAATTTTTTTTTAATTATTTTCAATATATTTTATTGATTTTTTTACAGAGAGGAAGGGAGAGAGATAGAGAGCTAGAAACGTTGATGAGAGAGAAACATCAACCAGCTGCCTCTTGCACACCCCTACTGGGGATGTGCCCGCAACCAAGATACAAATGGAACCTGGGACCTTTCAGTCCGCAGACCGACGCTCTACCACTGAGCCAAACTGGTTTTGGCTGCTTATTAAAATTTTAAAATACTCACAATTTCATAGACGCCCATAGTTATGATTTAGTCAAACTATATGTCATAGGTTTTTCACTCCATTTTTTTTCACTAATTAAAGTAGATTTGTTTATTTTTCTCCATGAGAAGAAAAATTCAAATAGAGTCTTTTAAAAGTAGGTCACTTAGTTTGTCCTAAAATGTCTGAGCCTTAGTGAAATTGCACCTAAAACTGTAACTTTAAGGTTTCCTGCCTAAGAACTGTCGCCTGCCTTTTCCTTTTTTGGAGAATTACCCATTTATAACAAGAATTTTCATAGATATGCCAAATTGCAAATCTGCTGTCTCCATAAGTCTGCCTTGATTTTTTGCTGTTGTGACATTATGCTTAATTTATTTATTTTAAAATATATTTTTATTGATTTTTCAGAGAGGAAGGGAGAGGGAAAGATAGAAACATCAATGATGAGAGAGAACCATTGACTGGCTGCCTCCTGCATGCCCCCCCTACTGGGGATCGAGCCCACAACCATGGCATGTGCCCTTGACCAGAATTGGACTCAGGACCCTTCAGTCCCCAAGGCAGATAGATGCTCTATCCACTGAGCCAAACCAACTAGGGTGACATTGTGATTTATAATAAGAAATATATATTTGGTCTTGTTTTTTGGTGCTAACTCATAAAACTCCTAAAAATCCCTTGCAATTTCCTAAGTGGTTAAAACCATTAAAGTTGTTAGTTAATGAGGATTTGGGGGAAGCCCCTAGGTAACCTGAGGATGGGAGCCACATGATTTGAAATTTATAGTCTCATCCCTACACCTCTAAGGAAAGGAAAGGGGCTGGTGATTAAGTTCAGTCACTAATGGCCAATGATTTAATCAATGAAGCCTCCCTAAAAATCCAAAATGATGGAATTTGGAGAACTCCTAGTTTTGACCACATGGAGATTTTGTGAGAGGAGTGTTCAGAGGGCATGGAAACTCCTCACCGCTTTCCACATACCTTGCCCTGTGTACCTCTTTTTTCTGACTATTCCTGAATTATATCCTTTTATAATAAACCAGTAAGCTAGGAAGTAAAATGTTTCTCCGGGCCCTTTGAGCTGCTCTGCCAAATTAATAGAACCCGAGGAGGAAGTTGTGGAATCCTCAGGTCGATTGTTCAGAGGGTTGCTCAGAAGCTTAGGTGACAACCCAGACTTGTGATTAGTGTCTGTAGGGGGCAGCATCTGAATTTTAGGTAGACAGTGTCGTAATTGAGCTGAACTGTGGGATACCCAGCTGGTGTCAGAGAATTGTTTGGTGGTGTGGAAAAAAAGACATGGCAATTGGTGTCAGAATCAGAGGTGTTCATCTTTTTATATCTTCGCTAATTATTTAACATCTCTCAGGTAGATTGACTTCTGAATTTACATATGTCCAATATTATATTTTTCTTATGTTACTTAGAACATACTTTATATTCCTTTTGTAGTAACAATGGTAGTATTTTTCTGATTCTGTAGAATTAGTATTTCCTATCTGATATGTTTCAAGCATTTTTTCAAGGCCACTTTTAAAAAATTACAGCTTTTAAATTATGTTTCACACCCTTAGGTTTGCGCAGTTTTTTCTGTGCCCCTTATTTGATGAGAGTTGCAAAGACAGAGAGGTGAATGCAGTTGATTCAGAACATGAGAAGAATGTGATGAACGATGCTTGGAGACTCTTTCAGTTGGAGAAAGCTACGGGGAATCCCAATCACCCCTTCAGCAAATTTGGGACAGGTTTGTCAACAGCAGCTTTCATGCATTAATTTTCCTTCACCTCATTTAAACCCATGGCCTTTTTGCACAGTATTGTATTTTACAATTCAAGACAGAAGATTTCAGAACTCATTTTTACACAGTGTTTTTATAAACTCACAGCTGGAGCTGAGAAGTGGTTGTTATATCATTGTTACTTTCATTTCTTGCCCCTGCCCTTAAGTATCTGCCTGGTCCCAGCGTAAGCACCTATATTGTGACTAATGACCTAAGATAAAGCCAAAGCTGAGGTATATGGGCTTCATGGAGAAAGTGATAGGTTATTGAGAATAATGACCAAATATGAAGTGAGTTTGTTGGGTAGCAAGGTGTAGAATTGAATTTAGAAGTTAGAAACAATAAGAATGAAGAAGTTATAATCCATTTAACAGGTGACTAGCATTTTACTTAGTAGTTCCAAAAGAAGAATGTCATACAGGAATCAGATTCTTGGCTTTGGACTTTATACATAATATTCAGGATGATATTTTCAAACTTGTAACATTGACCTGATCTGTTATTTGCCCTGTAGAGGGTTTCTCTGGCCATCCCATTCAAAAAGGGGTCTTACTGTTGAAGGAGCAGTGCAGTTACAATTGTGAATAGATACTAACCAGAATTTCAAAGGGAGAAGATAATGGATCTTTTTATCCTAAAGTCTACTTTCTAAAGGGAGCTACAAAATTAATACTTTTCCTCCTACCTTTTAAGTTCTTCTAGCTGGGCTAATAAATTAAAAAACATTAACAGGAGAAAATAAAATCTTAATACATACACATGGGAAATGCACGTAAGCATGAAAATTTCAAAAACAGTGAGGCAGCATTGGTTATATATATATGACATTTTTGAATAAAGGAGAAAGGTAGGGGGAATGGGGTATTAGATTTAAGAAGTGAGAGTGGGTGATTTACAGATAGTTGAGGGAGAAGGGAACACAGCAGGCAAATTCTTGCTAGGCAACTCAGAAACAGTGGGGGACAGGATTTCTAGTGAAAAGGCCCCAGCATGAAGTCCTCCTATTTACCTACTTAATTCAAATTAGGCTAAAATGAATATCCTGAAATTTCCTTCCTGGAGTAGGCCTTTTCATCTAAACCTCTTAGGCAGGAGGTCTAGATGGAGAAGGCCAAAGGTACGTTCTGAGTTTTGTTTCTTAATAAGCAGCTTAAAATTAATATCCCAGCAGGCAGCTTCAGGATGGCAAAACTTAGGTCCCTCCACTTCTAAAGAGAAGTGCTATTTAAAAAAAAAAATTTTTTTTATTGATGGGAAAGGGAGAGAGGGATAGAAATATCAATGATGAGAGAAAATCATTGATCCTGCATGTCCCACACAAGGCATTGAGCCCGCAACCCTGGGCATGTGCCCTGATTGGGAATCGACCGTGACCTCCTTGTTCGAAGGTTGACACTCAACTACTGAGCCACAACTTTGGGCAAAAGTGCTATTTTTAATGCTCAGTTCAAGGTTAGTTGAATCCTCCTGCCCCCATTGCCTTCACCTCTACTCATCTGGAAGACAGACTGCTATAGAAGATGCACAAGGCCTCTGCCCTCACAGTGCTAAGTCTGAAAGGAGGTTAGAGGTGGGGATGACAGGCCGTAGAAAAAATAAATGTCTTGATTTTATAATTGTATTCTTTATTCATTTTTTACTAAAAGTGTTTACATATTTATTCAGTACTAAAATATTTAAAGTGAAAAAACAAAAAATCTCCCTTTTCCTCATCTACTTTTTTTTATTGTCCATACAAATGTTAGATATTATTATTATATTTTTAATTTAATAAATCTTTATTGTTCAGATTATTATAATTGTTCCTCTCCCCCCTCACCCCATAGCTCCCCTCCACCTGGTTCCTACCCCACCCTCTGCCCTTATCCCCACCCCCTACTGTCTTCATCCATAGGTGCATGATTTTTGTCCAGTCTCTTCCGGTACCCCCCATAACCCTTTCCCCCTGAGAATTGTAGTCCACTCCCTTTCTATTCCCCAATTCTATTATATTCACCAGATTTTTTTATTCACTTGATTTTTAGATTCACTTGTTGATATGTATTTGTTGTTTATAATTTTTATCTTTACCTTTTTCTTCTTCTTCCTCTTCTTAAAGAATACCTTTCTCATTTCATATAATACTGGTGATGATGAACTCCTTTAGTTTTTTCTTATCTGTGAAGCTCTTTATCTGGCTGATAGCTTTGCTGGGTAGAATAATCTTGGTTGTAGGTTCTTGCTATTCATCACTTTGAATATTTCTTGCCACTCCCTTTTGGCCTGCATAGTTTCTGTTGAGAAGTAAGCTGACAGTCATATGGGTGCTCCCTTGTAGGTAACTGTTTTTCTCTTGCTGCTTTTAATATTCTTTGTCTTTTGCCCTTGGCATTTTAATTATGATGTGTCTTGGTGTGGGGTCCTCTTTGGATTCCTTTTGTTTGGGGTTTTGTGCACTTCCTGGACTTGTAAGTCTTTTTCTTTCACTAGGTGGGGGAAGTTTTCTATCATTATTTCTTCAAATATGTTTTCAATATCTTGCTCTCTCTCTTCTGGCACCCCCATAATTCAGATGTTGGTATGTTTGAAGTTGTCCCAGAGGCTTCTTATGCTATCTTCGTATTTTTGGATTCTTTTTTTCTTTTCCGGTTGAGTGTTTTTTGCTTCGTGGTATTTCAAATCTTTGACTTGATTCTTGTGATCCTCTGGTCTGCTATTAGATCTCAGTATATTTCTTCTTTCAATCAGTGTATGCTTAATTTCTAGTTGATCCTTTTTCATATCCTCTTTAATGACCTTTTTTTAGGAAATTCTTGAAAAACCTTATAACTGTGGTTTTGAACTATCCAGTCGTTTTCTTTCCTCCATTTCTTTAATTTGTGATCTGTTTCTTTGTCTCCGCATTTTTTAAAATATATTTTATTGACTTTTTACAGAGAGGAAGGGAGAGATATAGAGAGCTAGAAACATCGATGAAAGAGAAACATCGACCAGCTGCCTCTTGCACACCCCCTACTGGGGATGTGTCCACAACCCAGGTACATGCCCTTGACCGGAATCGAACCTGGGACCTTTCAGTCCGCAGACCAACGCTCTACCACTGAGCCAAACCGGTTTCGGCTGTCTCTGCATTTTGGCTACTTCCCTGAGTTGATAGAGTGGCTTTGTGTGCTAAGGTGTCCTATAGGGCCCAGTGGCTTCGCCTCTCCAGTTACCTGAGGTGGACACTCTTGGTGCATCCCTTTGTGGGCTGTGTGCACAGTCTTGTTGTAGTAAGCCTTGATTGTTGTTGGTATTGACCTCCAGGCCAATTGGCTGTGAGGATCAGTTGTGTCTGCGCTGGGAGAACTTCTGTGCTGGAGATACCCTTATGAGACAGGACCTGCAAAAGCCTCTGTGCTCAGCTTGGTTGGGGTGGAGTCTCAGGGCGGAGCAGACAACATTGGTTTCTATCAGTCCTGCCCTAATAGGCCCCTGTGTCTCAGTGTCCTTGTAAATCACTGCAAGCACGTCTGAGAGAAAGCCGCCCTTGAGTTCCGCCCGCTGTCAGACAGTCCAGTTTCTTCCTGAATGAGCCTGGGTCCCCAGAGTCTCACCTGGAACTGGAGTTCAGAGCAGTCGGGAGCTTTTGTCTCCCTCCCGCTTCAGAAAGCCAGCCTAACACTCAGTTGCCAGTCCTCTCCATGCACTGGTCTTGGTACCTCTGCCTCCTGCAGCTCCTGTGAGCTGCAGCTCCTCCTGCAGCTCCTCAGTGTGCTTTTCTCTTTCCTTCTAGTTGTAGAAATTCCACTCAGCCAGCCTTCCTGTGGTTCTGGATGATGCCTGTTTTGTCTTTTAGTTGTAGCTTTGAAATTGTTGTGCAAGGCAGCAGGTTAGGTGTTTTCCTATGCCGCCATCTTGGTTTCTCCCTTCTCATCAACTCTTGCCATTCCCATTTAACAAATGTAATTGTTATAATATGTTGCTATAATTTAAAAAAAATAAATCTTTATTGTTCATATTATTACAAATGTTCCTCCCCTCCCTCCTCCATTGCTCCCCTCCACCAGGTTCCCACCCCACCCTCTGCCCTTTTCCCACCCCCATTGTCCTCATCCATAGGTGCACAGTTTATGTTTAGTCTCTTCCCACATCCCCCTCTCCTTTTGCCACTCCCCCGGGTTTCCGCCTTACAGCCCAGGCTACCTCTGTTTGAGCCTGGGTCCCCAGGGTCTGGCCTAGAACTGGGGTTCAGTGCTGTTGGGTCTGGGGTTCAGCACAGTCTGGAGCTTTTATCTCCTTACGGCTAGGGAACACCATCAGGCACTCAGCCTCCCCCTCCTCTCCGGCTTCATCCTCTCTGCACACTCAGCGTGTCTCCGTACCTTAGGCTTTTACTGCCCTTCTGCTCTTCCTTCTGGTTTTCTCTTTCCTTCTCGTTGTAGAATTTCCAGTCAGTCGACTTTCCTGTAGTTCTGGGTTATGTCCATTTTGTATTTTAGTTGTATTTTATTGAAATTGTTGTGTGTGGCTGCGGTTAGGTATTTACCTGTGCAGCCATCTTGGATCCTCCTCCAATATGTTGCTATCATTTTAAAAATACTACTTTGGGGATTATAAAATTACATGAAGCTAATAGATTGCTTTGTGCACTTTCAATTTTATGTTTATTATGTAAGTTGACTTGGGGGACTTCTAAAAAAGGCTATAAAGAAAGCTTTCTTTCATTTTGGATACCACACTATTATATCCAGCGGCAGTCAGGGAATTAGCATACCTTTACAGAATTCTAAGTTGTTTTAAAAATTGCATTTAGAAGCAGTGATTCTTTGTTCTTCAGATTTATATACTTGGCACTCAATATCAGTATCATTGCTAAGATAAATTCTGAGGTCCCTGAAATGTCTCTGTAATGCCAATTTGTTTGAAAAATGGCTTTAGTAGAGAATATCAGCATACATGAAATATTAGAAGGGAATGTGAGTTAAAATTTTTTTTAAAAAAAA